CAAATATTTAGTTAAAAAAATGTATTTAATAATTTTTATTCAAAGTCCATTTATTTTTATACATTCAAAGTTGACTGCTAGCATACTGCTGTATTAAAGTCTAAAAAGTATTATCAAACCATCACATGATCTATAATAAATAAACTCTTCTTGAAGCTGCTTTCAATTGCAGAATCACACTTATATATTTATAGACTTATAATTAATTGCAGCTCTGAACCCATGACCAGGAACTTCACCTGCTAGTCAATACTGGACAGTCCACTTTCCCTTACTTTAACTTAGAAAAAAAGACATTTAATTATTAATATCAATATTTATAATAAGTAGAACTTTTGTGTAAATTATGTGTTTTGTGTAACTTAACAAGGAAGTGATACAGGAAGCCCCTGAGGACTAAACGTGGTTCTAAACCCATACTGATAGCGAGCAGGTGCAAAACAATAGAGTCCCATTTACTGCAGCTGATCAATAATCAATAATCAATACAAGCCTGATCAAAACTCATTTATAATACAACGATATTCTATATAACGTCCACATGCCGTTGCAAAGACAAAATAGTTTCAACAAACTTCGAAAACTGCAACTTAAAAGGAAAAGCTTGACAGTCTAGCACTGAATACGGCTCTGATCACATTATTACTGATGATGCATTGATTATGATACAAATGATCAATGAGGGTTGGCCAAACTTAGCAATTAAGGAACTCAAAAAAGCCGAAATGTTAGCATACCTTTTTGCTCGGGACGTTGGAAATCGTATATTTTAAGTGCAGTCACATTAAACTCCTCGGTGATGTCGATATGATTCATAAAGTCAAATATGTTCTGGGTTTGACGCGGTTTCTCGCGCTTCCTCAAACGCAATACCCGCGTGACGTCATCGCATGACTGACAGCTCCAGTAGCCAATAGAAGCGAGGGACGTCCCACTGCAGGTGCTCTTCACTTTTCATAATCGCTAATCTACAGTAAACATTTTTTTTTTGTATATACGACATTTGTTTGACAACTAATGTGAAAACAATACATCCGGTTAAGACCGATCTTAAATTAGAATAATTTATATACATTTTTCTCTTCCCAAATTCCAATATCATATTTTAATAGCTGTTGAATAAACAAACAAACAAAAAAAAAACACACTGACATCTTAAAGGCTCGTGTCTATACAACATGTTACATTAAAAATAAATAAACAAATAAATCTAGCATCTGAGTGACAAATGTGACAACTAGCCCCGCTACGGAAGGACGCAGATTTTTTTATACCATTCTGATACTTTAGGTTTCACACATACGCACGCGCTAATAATATAATATATGCATTTAAACGCTTCTTAATGCGTTTGACGCGGAAAGTTCATAAAACGTTCCTTTGTGACGCGACGCGTACATTGCAAGTGATGGAATCCCGATGTCGACCAATCAGAGCGCTCGTATTATAATGAGCTCCGCGCGACGCGTCCAGTCGACCAATGAACGACCTCCTTTACGCGACGCGGCACGGACGCGTTCATTCGCAGCAGATGGGTTTGACTCCGTGTTTAATGCGGTTTGGTGAAGGTAGGTTGTTATTTAAACATTTTTCCCCTCATATCTCAATAATAGTAACATATAGAGGGATCACGCGAGCACTGTCACTGAAATGCAGTTCTTAATTGGTCTGTTTTCTCCGCGTGTCGTCTGTAATATTTCCTCTGTGATACTGTATTTGTAGAAATGACATCACGGCTGATTTCGAGCTTTTCACCGTCTAAGAGTTGTTAGAGAGATCTGTATATTAATTAAGGCTGTTTTTTAAAATAATCTTTCATGAAACGTCCTTAAAATACACAAACAGGTCAGTTGCAGGATCAAGGAACCACAGTGAGAGAGAGAGATAATGTCACGGTAATAGACTTTTTATACCCTATACATTCTGTATTGATGTATGTTTTTAATGACACGTTATTTTAAGTAAATAATAATATAAATAATAAAAAAATAATATAAAAAATAAATATTAATTTAAAAATTTTTAAATATTTTTTTGTATTTTTAATATTAAAAGTTTTAATTATATATATATATAAAATACATATAAGGACACACTTATATACACATTTATAAGGACACACAGTTTTCGCAAGAATCCCTTTTCTGAGTGGTTTAGGCACCATGACAAAGGTCAACACACACTCAGCATGTTCTCATTATATTCATTCTTTTTGAGGGACAGTGTCCTGTTGCTCAGCGTAATGGTGACTTTTCCATGAATCGGAACATTGCAAAAATACTGAGCAGCGGGAAACTTTTTGTAGCCATTTCATCCATTACATTTTCCACAGTGGACTCTCTGTTTAGTTAGCCAACTTTTTCTTTAGTTGGTCCTCCAAGCATTTTTCTTGAATTTCCTTTCTGCATTTCTCCACAAAACTCACAGTCTTGTGGAAAGTCTGTCACTAGAGGATTCCCCTTTTTAAAGCAATAGTTCACCCAGAAATGAAACTTTGCTGAAAACTGACTCACCACAAGATGTACATGGGTTTGTTTAACGTCTCGTGAAGTTAAAAGCTGCACATCTGTAAGAAACAAATCCATTACTTTGCTTTCAGCTAAAGTATCCATAATCCAATTGCTTAGTGAAAAAGTCATCCGAATCAGGAGAGAAATCTGCACAGATCAAGCACTATTTACAGTACTAGTGAAAAGTTTAAAACTTGTTCACCATGATGGAAGCATTATTATGGATTATGAACACGCATTTTGGCCAGAAACATATTAATGATGGATTTGCCTCTTACAAACACACAGCTTCTCAACATGTTAACTGATGGACTGGAGTGGTGGATTACTTGTAGATTATTGTGATATCAGCTGTTTGGACTCTCATTCTGACGGCACCCATTCACTGCAGAGGAACATTTGTTGAGCAAGTGATGCAATGCTACATTTCTCCAAATCTGATGAAGAAACAAACTCATCTAGATTTTGCATGGCCTGAGGGTGAGTACATTTTCAGCAAACTTTTCTTTTAAGGACCAGGAACAGAACTTGCATAATGTGATGCTGTGATAAGATATGATAAAATATATGAGTTTGTCTGGTCTGCTCTGGTTGATGAGAACTAGAATCACTCAGAGACGCGCAGGACTCAAGGGGTTCCCAGTTTAGCAGGCAGCTGCTGTGTCCTAGTTCACTGCTCAAACTCCACCACAGTCACAGTCCAGCAGACTCTCACCAATATCACATGCAAACAATCTGCTTCTATATATGACTTAGTGCATTCGAAGAAAGTCTTGACTTTGTAACAGTGCTGCTTGTCAAAATTCCTAAAAGAATGTTATTAGAACTTTGGAACTATTTCGAAATCGCTCCTTAAGTGCTACTGTCATGATAGAGGTATATGGGAATCTCCTGACTGTAATGAATTGATTGCATGATATCACGAATCATCTGCCGTGTAAAAAGCAGACAAATTGTGACCACAATAAATACTGTGTTCAGTTTACAATGCATCTGTTCATCCATTAATACAAAAGCTGCTGTTTACTCGTGCATTACGTACGGACACGTCAACTCATTCATTACTTGAAATAAAGTAAACATTAAAACAAATAAGATAAAATATTACTTATTTTATTTCAGCTGACTGCCAAGGCAACATTTCTCATTTTCATTAGTTTGAGTTGAAGTACTTAACTAAAACTATAAACTAAAAATAAAACTATAAAGGCTTTTTTTTTTTTAAATAATAAAAAACAAATGATAAAACACACAACAAAATTGGTCCGTGTAAATTACTAAAATTTAAAATGAAAATAGAACATAAAGCAGATTTATTTATTTATTTACACAGAAACAAAGGCGAAAAACAAAAAGAATGATTTCGATTTTTTTATTTGTATAAACTAAACATCACACATACACACACACACACACATAAAGACAACATTTCTCATTTTCATTTAGTTTAAAGGTAAACAAATTTCATTACACCAAATACACAAAATAATGTTCTTTTTAGCAACATCATATGACCCCTTTAAGTTGAAGTATTAAAATAACTTAAACTAAAACCTAATAAGTCTAGACATATTGTAAAAATAAATAATGACAAAACACACAACAAATGTACTAAAAATTTAACTACAATTAAACTGAAAACAAAAAATATAAAAATAAAATCTAATTCAAAATATTAACTAAAACTATAACAGTTTATTAATTAATGATAGTAAAATAACTATGTGTCCAGTGCAACTACAACACTGCACATTTGTTTACTAAGCTTTGACCTATTTTCTAGGTGTGAGTTTGTTTTCTCTGATATATTATGCACAAGGATTAGTGCTTGTCATTTCACAAGAGTCAACGATGAGTCAACAACAAAGTTATAAGGAAGTAGTTATTATAAAAGAAGACTAACTAGTAAAACAAGTGTTAGTGCACTACTGTTGATATAAACTGTCATCATTACAGAACTGCACAGGTATGTTTCTTTTACAAGACGATTTGTACATTTTATATTATAAGACAGTTTAGCACATTAAAACATACAGTAGATTGTGATATTTACTTGTTGCATGACTTGATGTTATTTGTGTTTCAGATGCCTCATTATTTCAACAGTCTCAGAAGTGAAACATTATTGTCTGCAAGTCTTGTTTGGAGAAACTGCAAAAGAAGTTCAACGACACTGAGAGCAAAGAAATGAACAACTGCATCTTCAGTAATGAATCATAACTAATTTGTGTGATATAAACGTTCTCTAAAGCAAAAGATATTTGCATTTTTGCATCCATGGATCCAGGTTACTTAAACTATATCTAGTGATGTTGGTCTGCCAACTTATCCCACTGAACGCTTTTTAGTTTTCTTGCAAGCAACGCTGTGAAAAGCCAGTGGAAATGTCACATGCATCTAAGTCCCCAGAAAGCCTTGTTGCGTCGCAGGTCGATCACCTCTCCAGTCTGAAGGCTTTGACTGAGAAGCTGAAGCTGGAGACCAGAAAGCCGTCTTACCTGGACTGGAGAGCGCAGCTGGAGGCGATGCTTGCCCAGAGCCACAGAGACTCAGAGCCGCCAGGGGCCCCCGGTGACACAGAGAAACAGAGAACATCAGGCCCTGTCAAGTGGACGAAGCCGTCACTGGCCGTTAGTGTGGTCCATGAAGGGAAGCAGTCGCTAGGAAACACACTTGGATTTGGAAGTATAGACCAAGCGCTGGAGTGGCTCAGGAAAGAGCTGGTGAGTTTTTCAACTTGGTTTCTGTATTAATAAATGAACAAACAAATAAATAAATCTGCTTTGGTGTCATTTGTGGGTAAAATGCATAGTAAACAATATATAGCATAACATAAAAAATATAATATATATACAGTATGTATAAATATATATATATATATATATATATATATATATA